TTCAAAAATGATTTGAGGAGGATGATGAGGATGCTGGTGGTGATGATGATGATGGTGATGAATTGCGAACCCTGGAAATCGCATATGGTAATAGAGACATGACTCATGGGATGGGCCTGGAGACCGTACTCAGAATCAAACAACTTAGTTCTGTTCGTCCGGGATGACATTTGTCCATTACAACAAGGACCCTAGAAGGCCCATGGGTGTATCCTGGTTCATTCAAAACCATAGAGAAATTAAGCTCCAGAAATCGAAACCATATATTCATTATACTCAGGAGCCATGACCGGCTGAAGGGATCTTAGATGGATTTGTTTTCATGTTGCATTTTTTTCATTCGCTGACATTGTTGTTTCAGGTGTGCAGTTCAGAGGTGGCTTTCCGAGTCATGAAGTCAGAGGCGTAAGTTGTGTGTAGTATACGTGTATTGTTATTGTGTATATATGTGTATATGTAATATATATATATATATATTGCAGATACATGTGCATGTTTTGATAATATGATATAATATGTACACATACACATATACATTATATATTTATATATACATAGTATCGCGTTGCAAATGTATGGGTTTCGGCCATGGAGCTCTCGCATATCCTAGGTGGCCATGTGAACATCTTACGGCTCCTGGGGAAGTCGAGAGCAAACCTGGAGGACGCCAATTCCAGTGGTTGGAGGACCCAGGGACCGTGTAACGTCGTGTAACCCAGTTATACCCAGTTGGTTTAGTGGTGGTTTATGGCTTTATGATGACAATAATGATGATGTGACATTATGGGATAGTAGATGATAATACTGGATCTTAGATGAATAATAAAGGACCCAGTTCTGTAAACAAAGTTTCCAGGACGATTGGGTGATGGGTTACAGTGGTTTAAGTTGTGTAGCCCAGGAACTGTTTTTGGGTCCCAGGTGAATGATCACTATGTAACCCAGTTGGTTTATGGTGATGAATCATGATGAAAAATAATGAATAATGAACAATGTGACATTATGGGATGATATATAGATGAGAATAGTGGATGTCATTGGATGTCAGATGAATAATGGGATTTGCCAATACCGAACAACTACCATTTGGATGGTGAATCATGGTGGCAACCTTGGCTGCCGAGACCACGTGTCTCCCTGACACTGCGAAATATCCAGTCCCAGAGCCGGCCGAAATTTTCATATGTTCATAGGCGTAGATGCAAAAGCGGGTTGGAAACTACTATGGGAATCGCAACAACGCAACATCACGAGCGGGTTGAAATTTTCATGTGTTCATAGCATAGATGCAAAAAAGCGGATTGGAACTTACTAATTATGGGAAGTGCCTAAAATTCCCCAATCCACCATATCCCCCAATAATAACATAAACCATCCCAGTCATCACCATTTTCCAGAGGTGCTATGGCTCCCATTCCCAGGTCACACGCCTCTAGCCCTGGCACAGCTGGGAGAGCATCAGCACTGTGCGGCCTTCCTGGCGAGGCGGGATCTGCATGGGAGGTCTATGTTTTTGCCCTAGGAGAATGGGAAAATCATGGGAAAATCATGGGAAAATCATGGGAAAATAGGTGAAATTCCATGAGATTCCCTTTAAATGGAGGCCAACAATGGGAAAACCCACGGGAAATCATGGGGAAATCCTCAGCCAAAATGAAGGTTTTAAGGGGAAAATTATCCAACTCTCAGCGGAAGTTCCCATTGCGAACCCGGTATGGTTGATTCTCGAAGGGAAATTCGGTTGAAAGGTGTATTGACATGATATGTACACGCACACAAATATGCATATGCATATGTATATGTATATGTATATGTATATATACATATGTGTATGTATATAAGATTATATAAGATCAATGTGTTTTTATCAGCGCCGTCGATTCTTTTGCACATTGGCGAACATGGGTTTAAGTTGGCCTCAATAAGCAGGATCTACAACTGCCAGGTTGCTTTGCTAGTGGCCAGTCTGATGGTGATTTTCTTTGAGGATTTCATAGCCAATCTTGGCAGGGAAGAACCTAGGGCCTAGGGCGTTCATCATCTTCATCCCAGTTCAGAAATTGGTTGAGAACCACGATTAAAGCCAGCTGTGTATGGAATACTTAAAGACTTAGCCAGGATTCCTGGGACGCTCGTGGATGATCCATTGAAGTGGATGACCCAAGAAAACACCATTTTATTTTGACTCATATATCATAATCCCATCATTTTTTATCCCCATCATATGATATATGGTCTCATGCCAATATATTATGGTACAAAATGGATCAACCCACCCTATCCCATGCCGCTGCAGTTCCATTGGCGACGCTGGTTGCAGCCTAAGATATGGGTCAACCGAGTTTGCAGTGAAACAACCGCCTTACCGCCAAAAGCAAGTAGGCAAAGGATATTTACTGTACGTCTTTAATATATAGAGATATAGGTATATGGATATAAATATATAGAGAGAGAGATATATATATATACATATCTACAAACTCATTTTACTTAATGTTCTTGTTGATTTGAAACACCCAACAAGCTGGGAAGATGGCTATGGCGCAATTTTATGGATGCGGTTGATCACCTGCAGCTGAAGGCTGTTTTGGAATGATGCCCGGCGAACTGAGTTGGAAAAAAACCACCGCCCCAACCCAAAGCCCCAAATGTGTGAACCAACCTGGTCCGATTGCAGAACCGCATGTGATGTTAAGCCGGTCAACGACCGCGATTTCCCAAGCCAATGTATCAATGTCTTATGTTATGGTTGTAAACATTGGCTTGGTTGGGTAATGGACTGTGTTGTTTTTCCCTCGGGGAAGCCATAGGTAACCCCTTCACAAGGAGGCCCCGGTGATCCCGAAGCATTATAGCCACTTAAGCAGCAGAATCAAGATTAAATCCTGTCCAATTCATACACGTCATATACGTGAAATTTTAAATACTCCTTTAGTATTGGATCTATCCATTTTGGGGGCGCATGTATTTAATCTCTGGGAATGGGATGAATTCTGATCATCTTTCGCCAAGGCGGCAGCACAGCTGACGTGCTGATCATCGTAACGATTGCCATGTGTCCCTTCGCCCCGAGCCCAGTGCGAAAATCTGGAGGCCCAATCTGGGAGGCAAATGGTGCTAAGAAAGGTAGTGTGACCATAAAAGGAGTAGAAAATGGATTGAAAATGCTTGCAGAACCCAATCCCAATGATCCCAATGATCCCAATGATCGCATTTGAATGCCTGTCAATGGTTGTGGTTTATGCATCCCACATGCTCATGGCCTTGGCTGAGCCGAGAGCAATACAGCCAAAGCTCCCAAAAAAAATGATAAATATCGTACAAGTTTGTGGATTGAAGTATGCATCTTGAACAACAAAGCCCCTTATCTCAGATTTGTGTTCTAAAAATATAGTGTCACCTTCGGCAATGGCGGGAAGAAGATGTTTTCGCATCACCCATTGAAATATTGAAGATATCAGTTGATTAGATGTTTTACAGTTTCTTTTGGGGGAAGTATCTAAAGTGATTGCATCCAAATACCCCAGTCTGGCTAGCTTCTGAGGTGGTGATGGTGAGTTCCCTTCTTTTGGCGGCCTTCATCTCGTGTCCTGACGATAGCCATGGAGGTTTAGTTTGCTGGGAAAACCATCGAACTATTGCTGGTGGATTTTGCAGCAAGCCATGTTTGCTTACCGGATGTTATTTTTAAAGTTTGACCTGTACCCTTTGAGGTCAAAGTTGAACCCTGCATGGCTCACTTTTGGAGGGACCATGATCATGCTGAAGCTTGCAAGCTGAGGCAGCGCATGACTTTCCCTCGCTTGAACCTGATCCTCGAGATTTTGTCGGTGTGGGTGTGAAACAGGGATGGACTCCTACCACTTCAACAGCCAGAGTTCGAAACTAGCAAACAAGACTTGAAGCGACTCAGAACTAGTAGGGGCCCACTCTTGTACATATATACCCTGCCTGATGTAAAAAGAAACGCTTAGACTGAAGGCCCTTGCACATTGCGATGCCGGTAACAAGAAAAACACGAGCAATGCCATTGTGGAGTTCCAAGATGACCTCCCTAAAGCACAGAGGCACAGAGGTCTTCATGAGACCAGGCCAGCAATGGGCAAGTGTCATCATATTGCACCGGAGATATCACAAACACCGTCGTTTCAAGACGAAACGGCAGACAAAAGAGCCATGCGTTGGCAGATAGGACGGCTGTTTCACCGTAGGACGCTGCTTGGTTCACCCTGGATGATCGTCCCAGTTCCTAGTGGTCAATAGCTATGGCTATAGGTTATAGAATGTTGTAGAGACCCAGAAATGGAACCCTAGGAAACGATGGAAACGGAAACTTACCAGCCAGATTTGTTTGAGATGACCAACCTGGCCTGGGACCCCGCCAGAAACATTTCAGAGACCAAAAACCAGTAGGAAAAACTGAGTGCGCAGATCGCGGTTATGTCGTTCATTATTTGAGCTTCCACACAGCAAGGAAAAAGCCCCAACGAAAGGAGGAAGATTGCCATCCAAAGCATTCCAAAGCATGTTTGAATCAAATTCTAAATGGATCTAAATGGAATAAGAATGAATAAGATGGGTTTGTCTGTGCAGTCGGGTACCCAAGAAAACCCTGTGGTTGATCGTAATCTTCGTCCAAAATGAGTGGCCCAATTGGGCTACGCGAATCATTTTTGGGATCTGCCGCTGTCAGGCTCAGATTTGACATCCCCAACATCTCCAATTTGAGGTGTCCTGCAAGTTTTGAGAAATTCTGGTCTCAACAAAATGCCAAAATGGCAAGTTATGGATGTTTCGAATCAGGCAACACACAAGTTATGTAGGTTAAATAGCTTTTTCGAAACTAAATATCCATGTTTCGTGGTAAGAAAAGGGTATAAGGTGTAGCACATCTACATTATATATATATATGAGTTATACAAATAGATACGGGCAACATATGTATATGTGGTAGATGTTTCCTGGTTTTGAAGTATAGCACAGTGCCTCCATTTGCCTTAGTTTTCCTGCAGATCCGTCCCTGTGATGCATGGCCGAGATGGCAGATTGCAAGGAGGCGTGTGGCGCCATTACCGCTGTTATGTTGTGTGATGGTGATGTGATGTTGGTGGCTAATAGTTACACGGTTTATCTCGGGGATAATTGTAGGACAAAATAGGGATATTGAACTGATATTGCTTCACCAACCAGACTCAAATGGACGATCAGGTCTAGATATCAGGAGATGCCAAGAGTTAGCCTGGGCCGCCTGAAATTCGTGTCATTGATATCTTCGTTGAAAAATGGTGTGCCCCTAAAATCCAGGGGTAGCTATTTGTCTTCTCGAAAAGTGCAATTTTTGTCCATCATAATAATATAATGTGTATACTGATGTGATTGTATATAACATTATATAACATACATGTATGTGTGTACATATTTACGTATACTAATACACATCCGATCACATACGCCATTTTGGAGCATGTCCACATTTCTATCCTCCCAATCGTCGAAATCCGTAGGAGCAACTTGGCTCCAAACTTAGTGAAGCTCGACAAAGGACCAGAGCACTCAGGACGGCAAAGGTCCCACCCCTGAAACCCAATGGCACTGGAAAAGGGGGCAACTATTCCAAAATGGCTTTAATTCTGATTAGTGAATTAGTTCCAGATACTCAGGTTATATATCTGGATATATCTGGAAATAATTCATAGTTCGCTTTCACTATGCTGGGCGGAAACAACGCCATTCGTGCGTTCCAGCCCTGGCCAGGTGAAATCCCAAGTACAAACGTAGGGTGAATTGGTCATCGACCCAGCAACAGTGATTTACATACCCATTCTGGGGATTTTCATTTTGGACTAGATGAACAAATAATAACAAATATGTAGATTTCCTAAAATTGGGGTACCCCCAAATCATCGAAGTCATGAACGACCATTTTAGTATTGAAACTCCCATGGTTAGAGGATCCCCCATTCTAAGAAACCCCCATATACACCCATATACCATCCATTTCGACACGTTTTGACCTTATGAACATACGGTAACGACATTTAAATAAATGGAGGGCGGGCCAGACCGCGAGGCCCCAGAGGTACTATGAAATACCAATTCGTATATTTAAATGTAGCTACCGTATGTTTAAATGAATTAGATTTCATATGTTTAAATTGCCGGGCGGGCCAAGGAAAACCTTCCCGGAGGTAGTCTAAAATACCTGTTCGTATATTTAAAAGTCCGTATATTTAAATGTAGTTATTGTATATGAACTCATATGAACTCATATCACATTTGTTTCTATATCTGTGCCGAGCGCGCTAGGCAGGAGCTTGCCTCTGAACTGCAAGTCGCGGTAGAGCTGCAAGGGCGTTTGGCCAAGGCCCTGTGCCGTGGCATATCGGCAGTCCCCAACATCGACAAAATTGGAATATCACTGTGACCCTGGAATCATGGTGGGGGTAAGGGGAATTGTCTCAAATAAAGCCGAACTTTTCAGGTCAATTATGAAAGGTTACCCAGATATAATGTATTTGGCCTAAAGTGAAATTTCAAGATGGCTTCTTCCCTGGGTATGTGTTGTTTTGGGTTTGGTTGGTTAGTGGGCCAAATGCATATCCTGCAGAGCTACATGTGGAGGACATGGGCACACAGGGACCACAAAACATGTTTTTGCTAGCGGGTGGAAAACCGCGCATGTAGTCGCGCTACTTTTTCAATATGGGGTTTGGGTGGGGTGGGGTGGGGTAATAACGTTCATGTGACTTGCATACACACGTGATGCTACGCTGCTGCTACATCATTGGTTGGGGTTTGGGTGGGGGGGGGTAATACGTGCATGTGACTTGCATACACACCTGATGCTACGCTGCTGCTACGTCATTGTTGGGGTTTGGGTGGGGTGGGGTGGGGCTAACGGTCATGTGACTTGCATACACACCTGATGCTACGCTGCTGCTACGTCATTGGTTGGGGTTTGGGTGGGGTGGGGTGGGGTAATAACGGTCATGTGACTTGCATACACACCTGATGCTACGCTGCTGCTACGTCATTGGTTGGGGTTTGGGTGGGGTGGGGTGGGGTAATAACGTTCATGTGACTTGCATACACACGTGATGCTACGCTGCTGCTACGTCATTGGTTGGGGTTTGGGTGGGGTGGGGTGGGGTAATAACGTGCATGTGACTTGCATACACACCTGATGCTACGCTGCTGCTACGTCATTGGTTGGGGTTTGGGTGGGATGGGGTGGGGTGGGATGTGGTGTGGTGGGGTGGGATAATAACGTTCATGTGACTTGCATACACATGGGATGCAACGCTGCTGCTACATCCTTGGTTGGGATTTGGGTGGGGTGGCTATTACCTTATATCAAGCATGCGAATAGATATGTATTTTATATATATATTTAATATATATATTTATTTATTTATATTTATTTATTTATATTTATATTTATATGTATATATTCATATATGATATTACTTTCTCTGTCACACGCGGTTTCCACCCTTAGATGTGAATATTCTGTGTCTCAGATTCATAACACGTTGAGATGTACATTGCTTGTGCACACCGGTGGCATCGATGGTATGTGGAAAATCTCCAAAGGTGCAGTGTCAGCTTCTTGGAGCACACGCAAAGATGGGGCTGTTAATTTAACCCTCAGTTGCTTCAAGGAATTCGACTTTGGCAGTGGCGATGGCACCATGGAAATTGCAAAGACTTCATGGGTCTCACCGGTCACGCTCTAAGCAAACTCTTGGAAAAGTGAGACGTCCAGAGCAGAAGTAAAAAGCGACCATTATCCCAGGGGCACAAAACCCTGTAAATACCACGTCATTCCTTCAAAGTGACTTTATTTTCCCCGGGAAATGCTAGGGCAATGTTGATCTTAAAATGTGTACGGGGCCACGGCGCCAAGAGAGTTTTTTTCAAAACCTGCTTAACTGCTAGCGCGGTTTCCCACCTGCCGGGATGTTTTTGAGATGGCGAGTATAATTGTATACATATATTTATTTATATATATGATGCAATTATAGCGACCTCAAAGGGATAGAAAAGTTGGAATCCTGGAAATGATGGGAGGAAAAACCTGTCCCATCACTTCTCTATCTTTTTGGATCTTTTTGGAGTTTGGTATGGTGAGAAGTAGCTGGGCGAACTTCAATCATTGTGATTTTCAATAGAAAAGTGTACATGATTTCCAAGGTGTATTTAATTCGTATTTACGAGTTTTTGGGCATGCGCTATTTCCTACAAATGGATGTCTAACTGACAGACATGTTTATGAACCATCATTTAGGGACCCCAAATTTTGACGCATCACACGGGTATGTTGGGTTGAGGTAGCTGCATTGCTACAAACCAGGGCCTACATTGAACAATTGCGTGTATGGATATGGGTCCATCTTGGCCGATCTCCCAAAAACCGGATGATCAACACCCCATTCCCCTTTAGAAAACGATTCAAGAATAATCTCCCTTTTGAATCCTCTTGAGGGTTTCACCCACTAATAGTAAAACTAGTCAACACCGGGGTTTTTTTCAATTAGCTTTCGTCCTTTAAAAAAAAGTAGTTTCTTTCTTTAGGTTTTAAGTAAAATATTAGGGGGAAAGTATCAAAATCCCATATTTGGCAATATATACATATAATATTATATATATATGCCGATTAGATTTTAAAAGGTTGCTTTATATAGTTTGATCGATTTTGAAAGAGAACATGTTATTCCCGAATGCGTAGCAAGGGTTCCCGTTTCACTCTGGGGGTCTGGGGGCTGAGGGCGTGTTCGCTCGAGGTAGCGTTTACATTCGCAACCGTCCGCAACCGTCCGCGCGATCCCCGTATGGCCGTGCCTATGATAAGTTCTGCAGAAGGGATCATTTTTGGAGGTTTCAAACGTCTCGTTGCTTCGTTTCGCGTGGCAGGCGTGGCACTTCGTGACATTCAAACGTGTTTTGTAACGCGTCGAAAGTCGTTTTGTGTGGCAGGCGCAATGCTTTTGCGACGTTTTCCGAAGATGCGTTGCAGTTTTCGTTGCAGGCGCAGCACTTTGGATGTGTCCATCGTCATTTTGCGTGGCAGGTGCGGTGCTTTAGACGTGTCGGGTGGCGTGTTTTTGCAATCGCATTGGCAGGACTGCGTCAAGTGGCAACAGGGTGCAGGTTCCGTGGCAGGCGTGGCATTTTGCGAGATGTGCTGAAAATTGACGGAAGCCTCGCACGAAACATCGATTTTGATGTAGCAAAATTTCGGGTTCGTGAGGAAACTCGTAGGAAAACGTCGATTTTGATGCTACAAAGTGTCAAAATTGGAGGACGTCTCGCACGAAATGCTCGTTTTGATGCGCCCACGTGTCTCGTCTCGAGTCTCTGGTTTTCCTGTTAACAATTTGCGACTTGTCTCTTCTGGTTTTGGTGCCTTGCTCTGGGCGCATACTCTCTTAGGGGACATTGGTAGTCAGTGATTTTGCGGATTGAAATTGTTCAGTGACCCTTGATGCCCTTGCTTTTGGCAAATTGGCAAAATGTTTTGGCAAAAACACACCCCGCTTCATTCGGATGGTCCAACTTAGCACTTCTTCTTGATAAAAGGGTTCTCAAGATGAAAAGGGTTCTGAATGGAAATTTTCCACTTGGGTTCGCCCCGGAAAACGGACCCCACCAAGTGTCAAGTTTCCTTTGCGAAATTCAGGAAAAAGCTATTTCCTGTGGGTATCGCAGGCCATACTGGCGGAGAAAGGTTGCAAATTGCTATTTCCTGTGGAGCGCCGTGTCTATGAGGGAAGCTGCAAAACATATCCTTTTCGAAGGTTTTCAGGCAGGTTGTCATGTCGTTTTGCGTGGCAGGCGCGGCACTTCGTGACATTCCAACCTGTTTGATAACGTGTCGAAAGCAGTTTTGGGCGGCAGGCGCAATACTTTTGCGTCGTTTTGACAAGATGAGTTGCAGTTTTCGTGGCAGGCGCAGCATTTTGGAGATCTCTGTCGCCATTTCGCGTTGCAGGCGCGGCACTTCAAACGTGTCGCATTGCGTGCTCTACACTCCACACTCTACACTCCACACTCCACACGTTACAATTTACACTTCGCACTCCACACTCTACACTCCACACTCTACACTCAACACTCTACACTTTACACACTCCACACTTTACACTCCACATTTCACACTCTACACTGTACACTCCACACTTTACACTCCACACTCCACGCTCTACACTCCACGCTCTACACTTTACCCGCTCCACACTCCACACTCCACACTTTACACTCCACACTCCTTACTTTACACCCCACACTCCACACTCCACACTCCACACTCCACACTCCACACTCCACAGTCACTTCACACTCCACACTTTGCACTTTACACTTTGCACTTTACACTCTACACTTTACACTCCACACTTTACACTCCACACTTTACACTCCACACTTTACACTTTACACTCTACACCTTACACTCCACACTTTACACCTTACAGTTTACACTCCACACTCTACACTCCACACTCTCCACTCCACACTCCACACTCTGCACTCCACACTTTACACATCACCCTCCACACTCAACGCTCCATACTCTACACTCCACACTCTACACCCCACACTCTACACTCAACACTCTACACTTTACACACTCCTTAGTTTACACCCCACACTCCACACTCCACGCTCCACACTCCACACTCCACAGTCACTTCACACTCCACACTTTGCACTTTACACTTTGCACTGTACACTCTACACTTTACACATACACTCCACACTTTACACTCCACACTTTACACTTTACACTCTACACCTTACACTCCACACTTTACACCTTACAGTTTACACTCCGCACTCTACACTCCACACTCTCCACTCCACACTCTACACTCCACACTTTACACGTCACCCTCCACACTCAACACTCCATACTCTACACTCCACACTCTACACTGCACATTCCATACTCTACACTTTACACTCCACACTTTACACTTTACACTTTACACTCCGCACTTTACATTCCACACTTTACACTCTACACTTTAGACTCTACACTTTACACTCCACACTCTACACTGCACACTCCACACTCTACACTCCACACTTCACACTCCAAACTCCAGACCCTACACCTTACTTTCCAAAAGTGTTCTACGTGACTGCATTCGGGTTCGTGGGCTGCATCTTGTTTTTTTTTATTAAGGCATTTAATTCAATATTGGGGCAAGGCTTCAAAATCCGATTTTTGGCAATATGCAAATAAGATTCCAAAAAGAAATTTAATCGATTTTGAAAAAAATAATTTGTTCCCTTTAGGTGTCAAATTCAGTATTAGGGGGAAGCTTCCCGCCCTAATACTAAATACCCCCTAATAGTAAAAATTCCTCCAGGTGTTTATTGTTAGGAGCGGGGGGCCTGGCGTAGTATTAGGGGCAAGGACTAGTAGAGTCTCATTGGCACATTAGCGTTACCACAGGCTATTGAAGATGTGAAAAATTGCGTGAGCGGGGCAGTGCTAACGTGCGGCAAGCCAGAGATCCGCTTTGAACCCCCAAAATCCAAAAACAATCATCACCGTAATTTCATGATGATTGTCTCGTAATCATCTCGTAAGAATCTGGGAATTTGGGAATTTGGAGCCCCTTTTCCTGGTGGTTTCCTCATGCAATGTCTTGGGGTAAGCTCCCCAAATTCGCCCGTGACAGCCACGCAGGTGCGGGCAGAAGTGGAAACCACCAGGTGCTAGGGATGGGAGGTGCCCTCCAGTCATATGGCAACTGAAAAGCCCCGCAAAGAAATGGAGGTTTATAGTTGCAGATTTATAGGTATAGGTTTTTATCATCTAGAAGTTTGTAGGTATAGGAATATCATGAATATCATCTATTTATCCCCATTATTCGTTCATAGCCCATGTTATAAATGGGTGATTTTCCACCCACGTTTCATGGTCCACCGACAGGCAGCTGATAGACCATGAGCTCCGGGAATCTGCAGCAGCCAAGGCCAAATTGCTCGAGGCCTTTGCGGGTGGGAATACACCTTGAGAGCAACACGAGATGAACATGTGTCAGATACACATATTATATTTACATCATGTTTAACTACATCATGTTTAACTACATGATGTTTCCATCATATTTACATCATATCTATACACATCGTGTTTTCATCATATTTACATTTATTGTATCCCATTGATGCTTCTTGACCTTCAAAGTTTGTATTTCCATGTGTACCACTTATTGTGATCTAAATCTACCAAGATTTTCGGGATTGCCACCAGCCAGCCATTGGGTTTTTTGTATGAGCTCTGGCCCTGCCATGGCCCTGCCACCTGCCATTCAGCACCCCCAGGTCCGACGAAAGCGGAGAGACTTTGAGAAGCGACAGCACGTGGAACTGCGGGCACCGGTGCTCCGGTGTGTTGACTGAGATGGCTTCGTAATTTTGAGATGTTAAGTTACTTTCGGTTTGAAAATTCAACAGTTGACTACACCTGAAAAATCAACAGATTTTGAATATTATATCTGAAACTCAATACATTTGCTTGACACTTCCAGCCCTGACGATCCACAACATTTGACTTGGGATGGTCACCCTTTCGCAGATCCTACAGGACTTCATTTGCCATTAAAAATCGCGGTCGGAATGGCAGAACCAGTCTGGTGAGCTGTGATTCACCAACCCTTGCGGCTCTGGTACGATAGGTGACATCAGAGAGCGGATCTGGCAGATTGCAAGGAATTCCAGAACATAAAAGTCGACAAGAAATACAGGAGCCAACTCCTCCATTTGGCAGTGCCATCTGTCTCATCAGCCGTACCTTGTGTGCCCTTTGCACGTGTCTTGACATGAGACGTCCATGTAACTCAACCATCATCCAGGGACAAAGTTCAACACCCAGGTTTGAGCGAATCAATGCTCTAATGCGTTCATAATCGATGCTCTAATGCGTCCATAAAGCCGATTAGGCATAGCCGGAGAGCCGAACAGTGGACCAACGCCCTCAGGAGGGTGATCGAGCCACACTACTCGCGAGAGCTCAGAGGATGCTGCACCACCGGGGTGGGGCTGATTTGGAAGCGGCCGGGGCAAATACAGCATCTCAGCTGACTTGGAAGGGCCGCTGGCATTTCAAAAAAAAAGACACGAAAAATGAGGTTTTTGTGAAAGTCCCTTTCATGGGAAGCAGTTGCTCCCACTGGGGGGTTAGAAGGTGAGTCCTTCTGCTTCGTTCATGTGGGTCTGGAGGCGATTAAATTAATTCGTGTGCTCCCCATCCCCATCACCCTTCTTTATTTCGCCTCAATCAACATTGCTGAAGTAAGCGATGTTTTCCCGAATGCGTAGCAAGGGTTCCCGTTTCACTCTGGGGGTCTGGGGGTTGAGGGTGTGTTCGCAACCGTCCGCAGCCGTTCTCAACCGTCCGCACGAGGTCGCTATGGCCGTGCCTACGGCGAGTTCTGCAAAAGGGGTCACTTCTGGAGGTCCCAAATGTATCCAAATGTCGCTTAGCTTCGTTTTGCGTGGCAGGCGTGGCACGTTGTGACATTCCAACATGTTTGATAACGTGTCGAAAGTCGTTTTGGGCGGTAGGCGCAATACTTTCGCATCGTTTTCAGAAGATGAGTTGCATTTTTCGTGGCACGGGCAGCACTTTGGAGACCTCCATCGTCAGTTTGGTGGCAGGCGCAGCACTTCAGACGTGTCGTGTTGCGTGCTTTTGCGAATCGAATTGTCAGGGCGGCGTCAAGTGGCGACAACATGCAAATTCCGCGGCAGGCGTGGTATTTTGTGAGATGTGAAGCTTCGCACGCAACATATAGAAAATTTTGAGCTTCATGAGAAAACTCGCAGGAAAACGTCGATTTTGGAGTTACAAAGCATGAAAATGTGAGGAAGTCTCGCACGAAACGCTCGTTTTGAGGCAACAACATGTCTCGTCTCAATTCTCTTGTTTTCTTCTACTGTCTTTGGGGGAAGCTGCAAAACCTCTCATTTTGGATGGTTTTCAAACAGGTTCCAATGTTGTTTTGCGTGGCAGGCGTGGCACTTCGTGACGTCCTCGCGTGTTTGAAAACGTGTCGTCGTTTGGTGTCACAGGCACAAGACTTTGGCGTCGTTTTCAGAAGATGAGTTACATTTTTCGTGGCAGGCGCAGCACTTTGGAGACCTCCATCGTCATTTTCGTGGCAGGCACACCGCTTTAGACGCATCGTGTTGCGTGTTTTTTTTTTGCGAATCGCACTGTCAGGGCTGCGTGATTCCACACTCTACACTTCAGACTTTACACTCCATACTTTTCACTGCGCGCTCTACACTTTACACTCTACACTTTACGCTGCACACTCCACACTCCACTGTTTACACTCCGCATGCACTTTACACTCCACACTCTACACTTTACACTTTACACTCCGCACTTTACACTTTACACTCTACACTTTACACTCCACACTCTACACTCCACACTCCACACTTTACACTCCACACTTTACACTCTACACTTCACACTCCACCCTTTACACTTTACACTCCACACTGCACACTCTACACTACACTCCACACTTTACACTCCACACTTTACACTCCTCACTTTACACTCTACACCTTACACTCAACACTTTACACTTTACACCTTAGGCTCCACACTTTACACTCTACACCTGACACTCCACACTTTACACTTTACACCTTACACTCCGCACTTTACATTTTACACTCTACACTTCACACTCCACACTTTACACTCTACACCTTACACTCCACACTCTACACTTTACACCTTACACTCCACACTTTTCACTTTACACTTTACACTCCACACTTTACACTTTACACTCCACACTTTACACTTTACACTTCACACTCCACGCTCTACACTTTACACTTCACACTCCACACTTTACACTGTACACGTTACACTCCACACTTTACACTCTACACCTTACAACCCACACTTTACACCTCACATTCCACACTTTATACTTTACACTTTAAACTCCACACTTTACACTTTACACTCCACACTTTACACTTTACACTCACACTCCACACTGTACACTCTGCACTTTACACTGTACACTTTGCACTCCTCACTTTACACTCCACACTCCACAATCCCCACTTTACACTACATTCCCCACTCAACACTGCATTTTCTTCACGCTCCACGCTTTGCACTCCACCTCCTTCCACATTCCACAGTTTCTACAGTGCACTGGTTCGGTAACAGGGGAAGAATGTACAAGACTGTTCAAATAACTTTTCATAAGGCTGTTTTACGTGACTGCATTCGGGTTCGTGGGCTGCATCTTGTTTCTGAGAAACAAACCAAACCTTGGGTTGTTTTTAGGTGCAGCCATTGGTATCATTGATATATAGAAATACATTGTGCAATAGTGGAATTTATCGTGACCCCTAATGATGGGACTAATGTGACCCCTATTCCCAGACCGCTCCCGTATACTCCTGGAGGCATCGTTGACAGAGGCACGGGACGCCGCGAAGATTGTGGAGCGCTTGGAAGATTTGGGTGGCGTGGTATTTATTAATGAGAGGGAAGTGGAGGGTTGACAGAAATGTGGGTGTGGATCAAAATGAAAGACTTAAGGGGACCACAGATTTTTAATCTAGCTTAGTGTTAACCATCCAATGATTGGGGTATCCAATTTTGACCCATGCCGATGCACAATTGTTTAGCTGGAAGTTTTCCAATTTCAGGAGTTTGTAGATGTCCCTTGAGCTGAGAAAAGACGATCATGTGTGAAAAATCACCAGTTTGGGTTGACTCAACCCCCATCCATCATCCATGTTGGTTAAAAGACGCGTTGAAACAAGCAAAATTCTGGGAAAGTATTGGTGAATGGTTACTGGGTAATTCTCAGCCACGATTTTTGGGATCGAACAAGAGAATCACAGTCTAGGGGGCGATCGTTGCCATGTAACTCAGCGGCGGCCTGTTTCACCAATTCATCCGGTTTGAGGTTTTTTGGGTGGCAATTATTAGGTTGTTGATGGAACGTGTTTGTATGTATAATTATATATATATATACCCTCCGGATCCCTCCGGTAATCTACGTGGCAAGCGAAATGTTCATACATGCAGGTTCTACTCGGAAACTCATTATGGGCGGATTGTCCAATATATATTATCTTATCTTATTTTATCTTATGTTGTATTATATAATAGTTTATTTTATTATATTATATTATATTGGATGTTTGAATTATTATATTATTATAATATATTTTGACATATTATACTATACTATACTTCATTATATTATATTATATTATATTATAATTTATTATATTATATTATACTATATTATATTATATTATATATTATATTTTAATATATTATATATTATATTTTATTATATCATAGTATTTGATTTTATGCTATTGAATTATTATTATTTAATACAATACAATACAATAAAATACAATACAATTTAGTATAATATAATATAATAAAATATAATATAATGTAATTTAACTAATTTAATTTCATATAATCTCACATATTTTCAATAATATGTATATATATATATATATGTTTTTAAAAAACATATATATTTTATATATATTATCTATATTATCTATATTATAGATATTATATTATATATATTATATATACTATATATATTATATACATTTTATGTATCATATATATTATATACATAATAATTTATTTATATATGTTTATTACTTTTATTTATTTTCCTATTTTATATATAATTTGTATTATAGATATTTATTGTATATTTAATATATATATTATATATGCATTATTTTAATGAAATAATATATATATATTATGTTATATAATATATATATATTTTAACATATATATATATATATATATTACTGATATAATATATATATATATATATATTATATATACATTATTATATATATATTGTATATTATATGATACTATATGTATGTATTATATTATTTATATATTTTATATATATTATATGGTATATGTAATATATTATATATGTTTTATGTATTCTATATATATTATATATATATATATATATTATATGATATATTATATATATATATTTATTTATTTATTAGACATATATATATATATAAATTATATATATATGTATATTATTATAATATATATATATTATATTTATATTATATATTATATATATACGGTGGGTGGAAGAAATCCTGCACCACCTCTATAACCTTAGATTTGCTAATGCATAACTTGTACCCCCGTACCCCCAAGCTCAATGTTGAATGACATGTTGACAGGTGGTGCAGGATTTCCGTCACTCGCGCAAATCCATTTTGATCACTGTGTCTTCAAACTATTAAATTAGGAGCGCGAGGTTTCAAGTGTAGGCCTTTGAAAGTGGTGCAGGATTTCTTCCATCAACAGTACTGAAATTCTATGTGCCTGTTTGAAGAACTGCAAAGAATCAGCGGGCAAAAGCTGAAGGATGTTTTGGCCATATGCATTCATTAGCTTGTCAGATCATCAACCTGTGAATTCAAGGTCATCAAGCCTGGTGCATTTAGATTTGACTATATTGCAACACAAGCTGGGCAGAGCAGCGCTGGCATGCCGGAAAATGCTTGCCGGACCAGGAGGAGGGAGGAAGCAGAATCCTTTTCAAAGAAGCACGTAAAAGTGACCAGTGTTGCGTGGCAGCCCCACGCAACACTACACGCTACACTGCACGCAACACTACCGAACTGCTGGCAGGGGCGGCATTTTGGAGCTTTGAGGCTTTTAAGGAATGAAATGAAAATACAAGTCAGCTTTTTCTGTCCTGACCTGACATGCTGCCCCTGACAGCATTGTGGTAGTGTTGCGTGTAGTGTAGCGTGAGTGTTGCGTGTAGTTTGCAGTGTAGCGTGCGGCGGCTGCCATGTAGCTCACTCATTTTGCCTCGTGCTCAGCTGTGTGCAGGTGAAGAGTGAAGCACACTGGGGGAACTATAAGAAGAACGGACGATGGATTTGATCCCCTGGAAGTAGCTGGTGACGGGAAGAAATTTGCAAGACCAAAAATACAAGAAATCCTTTTCTTTCTTCGGTGGGTGGAAGAAATCCTGCACCACCTCTATAACCTTAGATTTGCTAATGCATAACTTGTACCCCCGTACCCCCAAGCTCAATGTTGAATGACATGTTGACAGGTGGTGCAGGATTTCCGTCACTCGCGCAAATCCATTTTGATCACTGTGTCTTCAAACAATATTAAATTAGGAGCGCGAGGTTTCAAGTGTAGGCCTTTGAAAGTGGTGCAGGATTTCTTCCATCAACACTATTATATATATATATTATATTTATATAAAATTTATATATGTAATATATATATATATATTATTTTCTATATATATATATATTACATATATACTATATTTCTGATATTCAATATTTTTTATTTATATTTATTTTTTTTTTATATGTTTGTAACGTATTTGTTTCTTGAAATGTTTAAAATATATGTGGTTTTTTGTATTTTATTTTATTCACTATCTATATGTATTTTTATATATATATATATATATATTGTCATTTGTAACATGTATGTACATGCTTATATATGTGTATGTATGTATATTATGGCCATGTAGGGTTGTACATTTTGCCGGAAATGCACCACCGTGGATCCCCGCATAACAGTGGCTGAAACAACAAAAGCCTCGAGGGTTAACCATTGGTTCAATCAATGTTAAAATACACACCAAAAATACTCAAAAACAGATATCAAGATTCATTACCATGATGAATAATGAATACCAATTATATAAGTTAAGCATGTCCCTTTCATTGATAAATAAGATATCCAATGATGCTTCGATTGGCACGCCCAGGTCATGAAGATGACGAACTCTACCGGGCCTTGTTGCAGCTCAGCTTGCAGGGCCTAGATCCTTGGCACCAGGGTCACTAGTGCAGCAAGGCCTTGAAGCAATGCGTTGGACGTTGGTTATTTTATGATAAACCCAGTAATGTTGGGTATGTTATTGTGTTAATCACTCTTGGAATCCAGTTTATCTAATTGGGTAATGTCATGAAATTGGGTTTATATGTTACTGTCGTTGTTGGATATGTTATTGGATAATTGCCAGTTTTTACTCTTGGGTTTATTGTTGGGTGAACCCGCCCACACTGGAGGCGAATGAAATTGGGTATACCTATACGACTGGGATGGTGTTTACCACGACACAACGGTTAATGGGATGGTTTATGCTGGTTTATGGGATTGGGTTTGCCACATGATATAGATGTTACAGGAACCCCAAAAAGATGCGCAAAAGTCCAACCCAAGTCCAATCTCTTGTGAAAAAGAAAACGGTTCTAGCGATTTGGTGGCTACTACCCTCTGGTAAATGAAATTCAGACCCTGAAAAGAACCCATTTTTTAGTGGAAACTAATCTTCCAACCCCTTTTATTAAGGGGTCTATGTTAATTTACTGGAGGGTAAAACTAATTGTTGCAGTTTGATGCCCAGTGACCATCAGAGTCGGCGGGGTGCAGAAGTGATGGGCGATCACTGGTTACTTTAGATGGGCCGTATGATGTAGACCAATGGTTGGAACAGTATGCCGATGCAAAACACATTTTCGAAGCTAGCAAGACATGTTCCATCCATCTCTGTTAGAAAAGTGTCTATGTTGGAAAGTGTCTATGCCAGATACTTCAGAACTTATTTATTTATTGCCATTTTAACGTGAGGTGGGATCGCCATCATAGTTAACCAACATTCCTGAGATGCGGTGCACGGAGCAGTCATTGTGATTGACAACTCGCCCAATGTTGAGTAGATCCCGACTCTCATTTGGGCTAAGCCACCAACAGTGTTGTTGATGATGAGGAGTCATGGCGACCTGTCCAATAAATTGTTGCTCCCAAAAAGGCAACCAAAGGTTTGAGGGCTGCGAATGTTTTGGAAGTGTTTTGAAAGAATGCTCGGTGGATTCATCTATTGGTTTATATTATATATTGGTTACATTATTAATTGTGTTAGATCATCATATATATATATACATATATATATACACACAATTATTTATGATTTTATTTTTCTATGTATAATGTGTGTTGCAATAACCATATCATCTATCTATTTTCATGGCACAACTCTCCTTTTTTGTTGACTCAGGAAAGGCACTTGGACCTGGAGGCTCCAGAAGTCTTGGCGCGCGTCCACTCCCTGGCCGTGTCCTTGGAGAACCTCGGGGAACGGCGCGATGCCGCGGCCTTCTATCGCCGTGCCTACGAGGGACGCCGCAAGGGGCTGGGGGACGAGCACCGCGACACGTTGGATTCGGGGCTGAACCTGGCGAGCTGCCAGCGAAGTCTCGGAGAGGATGCGGAAGCACTGGAGTTATTCAAGAATCTCTTGGAAGGCACCAGGGATCACCAGGGGAGGTGAGTCAAGGTGTGGTAAGCTAGATGGTAAGATATGGTAAGCTACAAGCTGTGGGAAATGGATAACATGACAAGTCTGAATCTTAAGTATAATCATCGTTGATTTGCAGGCTGTAATGAGCCAACATGACTTCACCACAAAATCACGTCAATGCGTGGTTCAAAGAAGGGGCACCCTCAGGAGACTTCCATATATTATAAGGAAATATTCCCAGTGCAGCGGAGGAAGTTCCAACCACTTGGCCAGGTTGTCAGAGGGCCCTGGGGCACCAAAATCCAGTGACTTTGGAGACGGCTGAGCAGCTTGCTGAGCTTCTGGCAGAGTCCGATGAGTTAATCGCAGCATGGAAGCTTCGCCGGCAGCTGCTGGAGTGGTACCGAGCTGCATATGGGGAAGAGCCTCGGAAGAAGTTGCTGCAAAATTTGGAGAGCCTAATCAAGAAACGCTTATAGGTTCACAAGATGTTCGCAGAATTCCTTTTCTCTTTCATTCTCATCTTGAACGTCCAACATCTCCAACCTCTCCCATTATCATTATCACTAATTACCTTATTATTGTATTATATTTCCATAAAATCCAATTAAGATACAACTAAATTCCCGTTCTTATCCTATTATATCTACGTAAAATCCTATTAAATCCCACAAAAATCCAATTTTCCCCCAGGACGACCCCATGGCTCTGTCGGCCATGTCGAAGCTGGCCGTGGTCCTGGCCTCGGCCGCCGCGCGCGGCTGCGCCGCGCCGGCGGCTGCTGCGGACGCGCGCGCGCGGGCGGCGCGGCGAGGCGGGGGTGCTGGGCCCGGCGTCGCCTGAGGCGCGGACGGCAGAGGACGAGCTGATGACGCTCGGTGCGGGTTTTTTTGGGAGGCTGAGCTAAGGGGGAAACAAAACATTGGGGAGATGGCGATTTTATGGTATGGTTTTGTTTGAGATAATGTTGATTGTGATGTGATGCCAAAAATACACATGCTGGGAGATTAATCATTCACACATATTTACAGCATCTATCACGACATGACTGATTGTAATTAGTGTGCATGCGTTGATTGGTAGGTTTAGATCAAGAATGTTCATTCACCAATAGTGGAAATCTAATTTGTGTGCTCTCTTAATGGCGGCTACGTATGGTTGACCTACCGGCAAATGAGGTTTTAAACCAACAGAAATAGAAATAGGATGAAGGAGGGTTATGAATGGGGTGAAAGAGGGTTGTGCACTACTAATATGGCTTGAAGCAAAATGCCAAAGCAGTTGTGTTACTGCTAGCTGGACTTTGTTGACACTAATTTACAAGAATGAATGTTGACATACTGTGACTCTCTCACGTAATAGATCAGGATAACTCTATTGCAGTATCTGGCTGGTGATTTGAAATGTAGCGTATATGTTCTATCCGTATTGCGTCTGTGGATGATGAGGTGGACGACCAACCGCTGGCCGTTTTTTGCGGGCCAAATCTTCTCCATCCTGTTGGGCAGTCTAGCGTGGCGTATTGTTGCTGTTGTTGGAGTGGTTGTAGATGTTGCAGCTGTGCTTCAAGATGCAAACAACTTGTGCCTGCTTGCTCTTCCTACTCTCGATCAAGGCGCACGAACATCGAATCACGGATAGAGGTCGACACACACAAGCACAGGCGAGGGTTCTACTAACAAAATGGCACCCAACCGAAGAGATGAATACTTTGCGGAAAATTAACGAGAAACTACAGTAACCAGAAACTGACTTATATTAGTAGCTGATTTTGCTGGTAGCTTTTCCGGTCTCAGGAAGTTCTTGTCCAAGAACGGCCATTTGCTCCCGGGAAACTGCTGAGCCCACGAATTGAAATTAGATATCCGGCACCTTAGATTGTTTGCTGGGAACTCTGTACATATCTCCTGCAAGGACCGCAACCAGCTGCAAATTGAACAAAATGTGTGCGAATCACTATCTTCATTGTTCATTCGTACTAACATCGCAGTATGCACATACATTTGAATATACATCGAAAATCATGTGAATATATATATATATTAGAATTATATATTATATATTGTAAAATATAGATTACAGATTGTATATTGTAGATTTATAGATTATATATAGGTTATAGATTAAAGATTATGCAGTATATATTGTTTACTATATATTTTACATATTATAGTATATATTATATATTGCATATTGGGTATTACATATCAAATACTAGATATTTTAAAGATGTTTAAAATTGTACATATATATATATAACTGCACTATATTATATTATTTGTTTTTATACTATTTTGTATTTTCCTATAATATATTATTTTATATAGTTTAATCCCCCTTGAAAATTCCCTTGTAGAATGGGAGGACGTTGGTCCCTTATAAAGTTGATTTTGTAGAAACATTGAAATAATCGGCCGCAGGCCGCTCTTCATGGGCTCAACAGAGACAGCTCCACCGAAGCCCCAGACATGTTGTGGTTTCACATGGCTTGCTTCCTGCTCCTGGTGCTGCAAGCACATGGCCTCAGCGTGGCCGACGACACAGCCACATCGACGCTAGAGGAGCGGTATCTTGTTTTCGAACACGACTCATTGGGAGAGTTGGTCGAGAGCGGGACAGCACCAAAAAAGACGTTCCAAAATTGTTTACATGTTGGAAAAAACATTAAAACACAACAAAGTGTATTTTTTGACCATCATTTCCATTTGGAGCTACAAATTGGTAGGGCCTTCCCGTTGGCAGCAACAAAATGGCGGGACACAGATATAGTTGCACCATGTAGCCTTTGAATAGGGACCATCCATTTTGCGGATTGGCATTGGCTAGCTGGCCATAGATTGCAATGGGTCACCCAATTCATTTTTTCTGAGGATGCGAACCATGTGGAGCTCTGGTGCTCTGGGGCTTCGGTGCAGCTCTTTCTGCTGAGCCCATGAAAAGCGGCCTGCAACCAACTATTTCAATTTTCAGGTTCATTTACCAACTCCCATTGCCCATCTACAAATTTGTTTTCCAAATTTTCTACAAATTTTATGTGCCTCACACTGATATATGCTCCTTCAACATTGGTGGTGTGCAAAGTCATTGAGAATCATCACCTCCGATGTGGTTGGGAAACCACCAACGTTAGGTGGCATTGACAGGGAAACATATTGTATAAATTAGATCCCCGTTGAAATTATCCCCAAGGGAGTGCGCCTTCCAAAGTGTAAAGTGCCCATCCTATCCTGCTATAAAATGGTAGGTTCCATAGGGTTACAAAATGGTCATTCCTTGGTCTCCCACCTGCCCATCAACATGAAGTACCACGAAATCCACATGGTCGGCAGAGACACTTTACGAGTAGGCTCCCCGTGGCCAAGCCTATTGCAAAGACAGCCACCACAATCCCCATGTAGCTTGGCACCCGAGATTGCAACGTAAATGTCTTGCCATCACATCCACAAACACTTCCACGACTCTGGCGCTACCATTTTGCAGTTGATTCAAGAAATTTACGTTGCAATCTCAGGTGCCAAGCTACATGGGTCTGTTGGAGGGGATTGTGGCGGCTGCCTTGGGAATAGGCTTGGCAGCGGAAAGCCTACTTGTAAAGTGTCTCTGCCGACCATGTGGATTTCTTGGCGAAGATGATCGCAAAGTTTCCAAAGCCTTCAAAATTGGCGCCAGTCGCGGTCCAGAAAGAGTTTTGTGATGACCACTACTTCGGCCCAGTCTATCTGACTGCTTCTGATGGACGATACTCGTATCATCTGAAGCCTGATTGCCAGATGCGCAAAGAACAAAATTTCGACTGCAAGCTCGCACAAAGTGCGGGTCCCGGTTCTGGGCCGCGGCATTTTTCCTGTAAACTTCCGTATGAAGTGACTCTTGTGAAATGTTGACATGCATTTCGACTGCAAGCTCGCACAAAGTGCGGGTCCCGGCTCTGGGCCGCGGCAATTTTTCTGTAAACTTCCGTATGAAGTGACTCTTGTGAAATGTTGACCAGCATTTCGACCGCGCAGGCTCGCACAAAGTGCGGGTCCCGCTTCTGGGCCGCGGCATTTTTCCTGTAAACTTCCGTATGAAGTGACTCTTGTGAAATGTTGACCAGCATTTCGACCGCGCAGGCTCGCACAAAGTGCGGGTCCCACTTCTGGGCCGCGGCATTTTTCCTGCAAATGTCCGTATAAAGTGGCTTTTGTGAAATGTTGACATGCATTTCGACTGCAAGCTCGCACAAAGTGCGGGTCCCGGTTCTGGGCCGCGGCATTTTTCCTGTAAACTTCCGTATGAAGTGACTCTTGTGAAATGTTGACATGCATTTCGACTGCAGGCTCGCACAAAGTGCGGGTCCCGGTTCTGGGCCGCGGCATTTTTCCTGTAAACTTCCGTATGAAGTGACTCTTGTGAAATGTTGACCAGCATTTCGACCGCGCAGGCTCGCACAAAGTGCGGGTCCCGCTTCTGGGCCGCGGCATTTTTCCTGCAAATGTCCGTATGAAGTGGCCTTTGTGAAATGTTGACATGCATTTCGACTGCAAGCTCGCACAAAGTGCGGGTCCCGCTTCTGGGCCGCGGCAATTTTTCCTGCAAATGTCCGTATGAAGTGGCCTTTGTGAAATGTTGACATGCATTTCGACTGCAAGCTCGCACAAAGTGCGGGTCCCGGTTCTGGGCCGCGGCATTTTTCCTGCAAATGTCCGTATAAAGTGGCTTTTGTGAAATGTTGACATGCACTTCGACTGCGCAGGCTCGCACAATGTGTGTATCTGCGTTCTGGCCTCAATCTGGGGCGCGGCATTTTTCCCGCAATGTCCGTGTAAAGTGGCTCGTGTGAAGTGTTGACGTGCATTTCGACTGGGCAGGCTCGAACAAAGTGTGCAAGCAAGTGTGTGCGTGTGTGTGTGCGTGCGCATTCTGGGCTCAATCTGGGGCGCAGCAGTTTTCCTGTAAATTCCTGTGCAAAGTGGCTCTTGCGAAATGTTGAAGTGCATTTCGACCGCGCAGGCTCGTACAAAACATGCAGCGCGGTCTTGGGATCGGTCCTCCTCCTCCTCCTCCGCATCAGCATCCTCAGTATCATCCTCTTCCTCCGACTCGACATCATCATTCTCCACATCATCCTCTTCCTCCCCCTTGACATCATCATCCTCAACATCATCATCCTCCCCCTCATCCTCAACATCATTACCCTAAACCTCATCATCCTCAACATCATCATCATCAACATCATCATCCTCCACATTATCATCCTCCACCTCATCTTCCACAACATCATCCTCGCAACATCTCGCAACATCATCCCCCTCCACCTGATCTTCCACAACATTTCCATACTAACAAGAGAAGACCCTGCATGACCCTGCTCCTCTACGCTCTCGGGCCATCCGTCGTCTAGTATATATTTTTCCATCTCTTATCTAGATGAATAATTCCGCACCCGCCGCTTTAGCGAACCTTTCGACCCTCTAGAACCGCAAAATATTCAAACATTAAAACAAATTAGCGTAATTTTTCTGCCTTTTCGCACGCTTCTCTTCTGATTCTTTCGTCTGCTCTTTTTCTTTTCTTTCCTTCTCTGATAGAATACAATATTATCCCCGCAAGAGACCCGAAACAGTGTGGGGGAGTGGGGGGATAATGTATGATAATGTATGATAATGTGGATGATGAAGGTGATGATGATGATGATGATGATGATAATGAGGATGAGGATGAGACATTTTACACACGGAAGCTTTTACACACAGACGCTTTATACCCCCAACTACTAAAGGGTTTGAAATGGTATACCCAGGGCTCTCCCGAGGGGGGGGTCTAGAATGGTATTTTTTCATGTTAGACCCCAACCCCCTGATGATCTCAGACCCCTCAACATAGGTTTTTATCATACTTCCCATAATCATAATAGACCCCAAAACTGATGATTCCAGACCCCCCACCGTTTAGGTCTAATATGATCAATCTCATTTTTGACAATTTGAGGGGGTGGTTTCACCCTAGACCCCTTTTTGGGGTCTGGAATCATTCCACCCCCCCCAAAACTTCCTCCCACATTTGGGGTCTAAAATCAAAAACGTAAAAGGGGGGGGTTTACAAAAAAGATATTAGACCCTGCTACGTTATCTCACATAACTTGATGTAAATTTTAACGGGTTTCCTACGTTTTTCCCCAAACAGTGTACTGTTAGGGGTTCTTAATGCTTTCTAAGGTGTCCGCCTTGGTATTGGATGGTGTGTCCGCCTTCCCGAGGGTCTTGTCTCCCCTTGTCTCCCCTTGTCTCCCACTGTCTCCCACTGTCTCCCCACTGTCTCCCCACATGTGTGCCTGTATTGGATTCTTGTTTCCCCTTGTCTCCCCTTGACTCCCCACTGTCTCCCCACATGTGTGCCTGTGTTGGATGGTGTGTCCGCCTTCCCGAGGGTCTTGTCTCCCACTGTCTCCCCCTGTCTCCCCACATGTGTGCCTGTATTGGATGGTGTGTCCGCCTTCCCGCGGGTCTTGTCTCCCCTTGTCTCCCCTTGTCTCCCGCTGTCTCCGACTGTCTTCCCACATGTGTGCTGTCTCCCACTGTCTCCCCACAAATGGGCCTGTATTGGATAGTGTGTCCGCCTTCCCGAGGGTCTTGTCTCCCCTTGTCTCCCCTTGTCTCCCACTGTCTCCCACTGTCTCCCCACATATGTGGGCCTGTATTGGATGGTGTGTCCGCTTTCCCGCGGGTCTTGTCTCCCCTTGTCTCCCCTTGTCTCCCACTGTCTCCCCCTGTCTCCCACTGTCTCCCACTGTCTCTCCACATGTGTGCTGTTGGATGGTGTGTCCGCCTTCCCGCGGGTCTTGGCTCCCCTTGTCTCCGCTTCTCTCCCACTGTCTCCCCACATGTGCGCGTGTGTTGGATGGTGTGTCCGCCTTCCCGAGGGTCTTGTCTCCCCTTGTCTCCCCTTGTCTCCCACTGTCTCC